TATCAATTAATATTAAAGCTTGTATGGGACTGAACCCATATTAAAAATATAAGATTCTTGTATAGGATTTATATGGAATTTAGGCTATCTTACTTGATGATTTATAAACATAGCGATATAATTGGCATGTGATTTTATTATTATTATTATTATTATTTGGGCTTTCTCTGCGAAAGGCATACCTCTAGCTCTAGGAGAGTCTTTTGTGTATAAGCATCTCGGGAACATGGCATCAGTAGGTGGCTATAAAGCAATGGTTGATCTATGACAATCAAAGGTATAATAGGAAATTATGTAATTCTATCTTAATATCTAACATCCAGCATTGAGTTTTAGACTCATCAAATAATTTGCTTTACTTTAAAATAAAATTTTCACTTTGCCTTTTTTCTTAAATTATATAACAACAACCCCGTTGACATCTACATGCAAGCCCAGGCTCTCTTCCTTATTTCTGAATTTTTATGGTTTGGGAATGTCCTTATTTCCTTTTTTTGTTTTTGTTTATTTGAATACATTTTGTTATGCTATAACAGATATCTTCTGCAGTATTCTTCTTAAGGGGCAAAACATATGAAACATGCGTTAGCTTTTGAAGTAATGGTAATGATAAAAGGCTCATTAATTTTTAGTTTTATCCATTTGCCTTAGCATATTTCTTATGTTGCATATACTTCATAATCTTTTGGTTTAATATTTATTTATTTTTTAATTTTGGTTAATTAATTTTTTATTTTTAAGTTGTGTTCACTAACTTTTTGCTCACATCTCAGTGTATATCCTATAGGCACATCTATATTTCTCTGAGGTAAGGGCAACAGAAAGTAGCAAAATGAAGGCACAATGGCTTGATTATGTATGGATCCATAAACTTGAGTTTATATATTTGAGAATGTATTATAATACCCTAGCTCGTGCCTTGTATACATTCTCACTACTAGAAAAGTCCAAATTTTCGACGAAATTTTTCGACGGAAAATATTCTGTCAAAATTAAAGACGCCAATTTCAATGGAAAACGTATTCCGTCAAAGTTTTCGACGAAATTAATTTTTCGTCGAAAATTATCAAAAAAATTCGATGAAAAAATTAATTCCGTCAAAAATTTTCGACGGAATTCAAATTCCGTCGAAAATCATTACATAAAAATAAATTAAAAAGAATTTATATTTATGAATTTTCGACGGAATTCGTTTTTCGTCGAAAATCATTAGATGAAAATAAATCGAAAAAAAATTATATTTATGAATTTTCGACGGAATTCGAATTCTGTCGAAAACAATTACATAAAAAGAAATTAAAAAAGAAATTATATTTATGAATTTTCTACGAAATTCAAATTCCGTGGAAAACAATTATATTAAAATAAATCAAAAAAAAATTATATTTATGAATTTTGGATGGAATTCGAATTCCGTCGAAAATTATTAGATAAAAATAAATCAAAAATAAATTATATTTATGTATTTTCGACGGAATTTGAATTCCGTCGAAAACAATTACATACAAATAAATCAAAAAAATTATATTTATGAATTTTCGACGGAATTCGTTTTCCGTCGAAAACTATTAGATAAAAATAAATCAAAAAACTATTATATTTATGTATTTTTGACGGAATTTGAATTCATCGAAAACAATTACATAAAAATAAATCGAAAAGAAATTATATTTATGAATTTTTGACAAAATTCGAATTCCGTCGAAAACCATTATATAAAAATAAATTAAAAAGAAATAATATTTGTGAATTTTCAACGGAATTCGAATTCCGTCGAAAACATACCATAAAAATAAATTAAAAAGAAATTATATTTATGAATTTTCGAAGAAATTTCAATTTCGTCGAAAATCAATATATAAAAGTAAATCGAAAAAAAATTATATTTATGAATTTTCGACGGAATTCAAATTTCGTCGAAAACAATTATATAAAAATAAATCGAAAAGAAATTATATTTATGAATTTTCGACGGAATTCGAATTCGATCGAAAACCATTATATAAAAATAAATAAAAAAGAAATTATGTCTATGAATTTTAGACAGAATTCTAATTCCGTCGAAAATCATTACATAAAAAAAATAAAAAAAAAATTATATCTATGAATTTTCGACGGAATTTGAATTCTGTCGAAAATAATTACATAAAAATAATAATTCTGTCGAAAACCATTATATAAAATAAAATCAAAAAAAAATTATATTTATGAATTTTCGACGAAATTCTAATTTTGTTAAAAACCATTATATAAAAAATTCGACACTTTGTTATATTTATTATTTTCTAATTAAATACTTTTTTGTACTAAATTAAAATTGTAAAAGTTATTTCCCATTTTAAGGTCAAGTATTTTATAATATATAATTAAGGTCAATTGGTCAACCATATAATAAAGATTGCAAATAAGTCTACAAAAAATAAAATAAAATTACTTAACAGTGAAAATGGAAACCCTTTCATCACTCTTAGTATAGTCGAACCATCCTATACGGGAAAAATATTTTTCCAGCAACTTGAGATAAGTTTATCTTTGATCATCTCAAAACTACGATCGTTTTGTTTATTTATTTTCTTATATTAATCGATTTACCTTTGAACGGTTATGGTTTTCTTTTTCTCTCTATTCTTTTGTCACCATCGATTCATCTTTGTACGGTTATGATTTAGTAGCTGGAGATAAAATTATCTCAAGTAGCTTGAGAAATGATAAGCTCATATATATATATGTGTGTGTGTGTGTGTGTGTGCGCGCTTTAATATTTCTACAATGAATGTAGATAAGTTATCTACATTCACTCTCAAAACGACGTCATTTTGTATTGAAAAATTAAAAAATTATAATGAGAAAAGCTATTATAACTCTTAAATAAATTATAATTATAAAAATATCTTGATTTCTGCCCCAGAACGACATCGTTTTGGGTTCAATGTAGATAACTTATCTATATTGACTGCAGAAAAAACGAACTCATATATAGATATATAGATATATATATATATATATATATATATATATATATATATATATATACATACCAATATTTTAAGACACTTTTACTTAAACGTTGTGTCATTTTTGTTATTTGCTTTTATGCAAATAAGTGGTGTGGAGCGAGGGAGAGGTTAATAGAGATTACCAGTTTACCACCCCTTTAAATTTATACAAAACTTTAAAATTCAGCGTTACTTCTGATTTTTGTTTATATATTTGAAATTTGTCCCCTTCAAAATTATAAAAGCCTTTAATATAAATATTATTTTTTATTTTTTTAAAAAAACTAGATTATATTTTTCTTCCTCAAAAATAATTTCTTCATCAACTCTTCCATATGAAAAGGACCTATATGGTTCAAATTTTGCACTTAGTTAACTTTACTTATCTATGAACTTATTTTATATATTTTAAAAGTGTAAAAACTACTAACCACCAAAAAAAGTGTAAAAACAACAGTTATTTTAGTTAAAATTATTATTTTTATTTAATATTTAAATTAAAAAGATCTCATATTTTTTTATCATAATTTTTATTGTGCAATTGATTACCTATCAAAATACGTACAATAATTTCGACTAAAATGACATGATTTTATGTTTTTAATTTAATTAAAATATTAAATAAAATATAATACTTTTAATTAAAATAATTGTCCAAATATTCTCCCTTAATTTAAAAAGGAAAAAAGTTGAAATTAAAATTGGCAGAGGATAACAATGAAAAACATGCGAACAAGTGTGAGACACACGTTGACAGGGGAATGGAACGACGTAAGCATCGCGTGGCATGACATAAGAGTACGGGCCCACCATGTGGGAAGAATTAGCTGAGTTCACGGTATGGATTAGATCTGTTTTGGAAGAAAAATCATCTGATCCAATTCCTTTAATTAGATCATGTAATCATCCATTCTATATTTTTTTTCAAATCCGATCCGATTCAATCCAATTTTTTTCGGTTTGAATTGTATGAGTTTTCGATTTCTTGAAAATCCTAAAATTTGTTTCATAATCATTGTACAAATAGCATCTTTTGTATATATAGGTTTTGTAATTTTTTTTTTAAATACAAAGCATCATAATATAGTTTTTTTGGGTTTAGTTGATGGGTCTTGAGTTTAGAAATTTTTTGATTATGATTGGAGAAAGACCCAACTAGATAGAGAGGATTAATATATTGGATTGGTTTGGATTGGATCGATTTTTATCAACAAGTTTGAAAATCGATCTAGTCTAATTAAAATTTACGATTTTTTTTCGATTTTTAATTATTCAATTTATTCAATTATTAATTTTTCGGTTCGATTACAATAATTTAAATCGATTTGGATCGGTTGATAAACACGATACATTAAGCTTTATACGTCACCATGGTGTAGCCGACAATCCTAGATTTGTCGTTCGAGAAATTATACCGCAACCCAGAAGCAAGCGCTTCACGCCTTGCAAAGGCTATAACGGCGTTCTCAAAGACTATAACCGCGCCTTGCAATTGAGGATTGACAGACAAAGAAGTTAAAGTCAGCCTTCAGTTAATAAACTAATATTATATTTATCAAAAAAATAAATTAAAATAAACTAATATTATATAAAAAAAATTATACTTACAACATATTTTCATTTATAATTTCTTACAATCATATATTAATTGTTAATTTCTGCTAATCAACGGTTGTCATTTATTATGAATTAATAATTAATTAATAAATTTAATTTACAAAATTTTAAGATTGACAGAAATCAACGGTTAAGATATGGTTGTAAAATGTTGTAAATAAAAATAAATTGTAAGTATAACTTTCTCCAATAATATATAATTAATAATTTTTCTTATAAATACATATAGCGTGTCATTGTTACTTTTAATGACAAACATTCAATTACCTAATATTATAATATATAATTCAAAAATTATATATAATGACAATATATTGTTTCTCTTATAAATGGAACCAAGTAATGTGAGGTTCATACCACAAATCTAGCAGTTCAGGCATCAAAGCTATGGAATCCCCCATCGAGGAGCATGCATCCAAACTTCTTCCAGCACAAACCCATATATTCAATCACATTTACAGCTTCATAAACTCCATGTCCCTTAAATGTGCAAATGACTTGTGCATACCAGATATCATACACAAGTATGGCCAACCCATGCCACTGTCACAACTCATTGCTTCACTACCAATCCACCCCTCCAAAACTGGGGGCATCTTTCGCTTGATGCGAATTTTGACCTATTCTGGTTTCTTCTTTCAGCAGAATGTTACTGAAAATGAGCTAGAAGTGAGGTATGGGCTAACTGATGCATCTAAACTACTGCTTAAGGACCATCCCTTGAGCATGACATCTTACTTGCATTCCACATTTGAACCAACTAAGATAAAGTCATGGCTTCAATTTTCTACTTGGTTCAAAAATGATGATCCTACTCCATTTTTCACGGAAAATGGGATGACATTTTGGGATCATGCTGGCCACCATCCCAAATTCAATCATTTTATGAATGATGGCATGGCTAGTGACGCTCGATTGATTTCCAGTGTGGTGATTGAAAAGTGCAAAGGGGTGTTCATGGGATTGGAGTCATTGGTTGATGTTGGGGGAGGCACAGGGACTATGGCAAAGGCCATTGCCAAAACATTCCCACAACTAGAATGTATTGTATTTGACCTCCCACATGTTGTTGATGGCTTGCAAGGAAATGACAATCTAAAATATGTTGGAGGTGACATGTTTGAGGCAATTCCTCCTGCAGATGCCCTTTTGTTGAAGGTAAAATGTTATGACATCAATTATCTTCTTTCAACACCTTTATTATAGATACCTTAAAAGTTTATTGTTATGCGGTTTATATAAGTTAAAACCACAATATGGTATGTGGAAATTTATTAAGATTAGCATTATGATTAATAGTAATCAACATGTTATAATGATTCTGATCATTGCTACTTTGAAAGACAAATAGTGGATATTGCATGACTGGAACGATGAGGAGTGCGTGAAAATACTGAAGAAATGCAAGGAGGCAACCACTAACAAAGGGAAAAAAGGAAAGGTGATTATCATAGACATGGTGATGGAGACCGAGAAAGGAGACCATGAATCTGTTGAAACACAGCTCTTCTTTGATATGATGATGATGGTGTTGGTCACTGGAAAAGAGAGAAATGAGAAAGAATGGGCCAAGTTGATTTTCACTGCTGGTTTTAACGACTACAAGATAACTCCGCTTTCTGGTTTACGGTCTCTTATTGAGGTTTATCCATAGCAGGGTCTAGCATCATCACTAAATGGGAAGGACAAGCTTTTATTATTTATACATTTTACTTCAGTTGATTATTATGTAAGAGGGATACGTTTTATATTTTCCTATGTTTAAGGTTAATATATCAATATAATTAAAAATAATTGTGTACAAAAGTTATTAATAAAAGTTATATCATTAGATTAGTTTATAAATAATATATAACAAATTTGAACAAATAAATACATTAAATTGAAATTAAATAATATATAACAAGCTTTCTCATATTTGTCTCGTTCAAATACACAAAAATGGGTGATATCATTTTTTTCTTTCTCTTTTTCTCCTTAATAGGTCTTATTCATTTTTTTCTGTTACATGAGACAAAATTATCTCATCCAACATGAGAAAGATATTCTCCATAAATGTATTTACGTTGTTTGTCTTTCGCATTCTTTATATAAATACTCAAAAAAAAAAAAAAAAGTAATGAAGTAAAATTACCTTTGGTCTCTTAGCTAGAATCTTGAATTAGGAAATGTGAGCCAAAAAACAAAGGAATTTTGTCTTCATCAACATGATCTGTAGAAGGCAGCACAGGTAATCAAACAAAAAGAAAATGTTATAAAGCAAGGCACTTATGGTTAACTGTTTAGTGTAAAACACACTATGCTTTTAGAGCCAAAATTACGGTAAACTTTGTTGTAACTGATAAAAGACATAGTAAATATTATCAAATGCAAAATACTATTGAGTTTTTACAATTGGATATGACTATATCGGTTTTATGTTCAAATCGTTAATGTTCATGGATCAAGAAATTAAAGCCAATGGAGGACAAAACTAAAGCCAAGCAAAGATCGGGGGAGTATTATTTCATGTTATTTGCTCGCTGGATTGCTCGCTTAAGCCAACAAATCCAGTCCAGTGAGCAAATCCAGAAGACGTGTACATTCAACGTCATCCTCGCTTCCCTGCTCGCTTAAACAAGCAAGTTAATTAGCAAGCTGCATGTATTTCCTCGCTGGTAATTTGCATTGAGCAACGACAAAAAAAACCCATGGACCTTTATTAAAAGAAAGAACATAAAGAAGGCAAACCAATTCGTGATGGCTGCGACCAGAGAGGAGGAAGAGCTCTGTTCTTGGACTGGGAAGTCGAGGAGAGGGTCAAAGCTTCATTATGAAGACTGGGTATCACGTTCTTTTATGAATTTTTCTAGTTTTCATCTTTTATTTTAGTTTTCCTCACTATGTCAAGCTAGGTTTTCTTGTAGTTAGGGTTAGATGGAATCTTTTGAATCATGATGTTATCTACTCTTTTCCTTTCAATTTAATATTTAAACTTCCATGTTATGCAATTATTCTTTGTTTCTCTCTTAATTCTTTTGTGAACTGATCACTCATGGAAGGATACTTGAATTATACATGATAATAGGGATGTTGATGTATGATTTTAATCTGACTAATTGTTAAGTGTTTTGTTTGATTTAGGGATAGAATAACGAAACCTATGACTAGGGGTGTAAATAGGTTAAGCTAAATTTTAGCTTAAATAGGTAAGACCTTTGTAAAAAATGTTAGACCTAGCCTGATCTGTTAGTTTGTGTAGATCCAAATTACAAGTCTGACCTGACCCAATAGCGGACCTAGAAATTTTTTTTAATGTCTGCACATTTACAATAAAAGAATAAAGAAAAAAAATTTAAAGAAAATTTTAAATATATTAAAATACAAAAGAATATATATATATATATATAAAACTTTAATTTAATATAAAAAAAATAATCAAGAGTCAACTAAACTGTTACAATACAACATTTTGGGTCATCAACAAAAATTACGGGCCTCAATTTAATCTCTTAGAGAAAAAAAATCTACTTGTGATCCCTCAGAATTCAAAAATAGATCCAGATAATCAAAATTATGATCCTCTGGAATTCAAAAAGACCCACATTAACCCCTCAAAAAGACTAACATGGGTTTATTTTGGAATTTAAAGGGATCAAGAGTCAACTTTTTTTAAGAGATTAATTGAATCCTATAATTTTTGTTGATGACCCAAAATATATTTTATTTTATTTTTCAAAAAATTTGTGTGTGCACTTGCACACACTTGCACTCACCTATGTCCGCCACTGACCTGACCTATGTTAAAACAATAAAAAGTCTTGACCTAGGTCTGTTTAACTCTATTAAACATTTAATAACTAAAAAATAACTAAAATAATATTACTTTATTATTCAAAATTATTAAAATAATAATTTTATTTGTTTTATTTAAAATAAATAATATGATATAGGCCGTTCAGTAGGCTTATAAGCTCGACATATACAAAAAAAGCCTATGACCTACTTTCTAAATAGGTTTTTTTTTTAAAAGCCTAGGCATGTTCTATTTTAGTATTTGTAATAGGCCAAGCCTGACCTAATATAACTAAGTCGGCCTAGTCTATTTACACCCCTACCTATAACTCTTTTGTTCATCGTTCTTAATGGTTGCCCTAGGTAGAATCACTAAGTGATTATGATTCTTAATAGGTCAAAGAATTAAAATACTATGAGATTGAGTTTTAATTAATTAGTGATGTACTATCAATAACATGGGTTTAAATATTGATTGAGGGAAAGGGTTGATTTATTAGGAAGAAATTGGGAAAATTGAAACTGCAGGAAATTGAGCAGATGAGGGTGAGAATATGTGTTTGATCCTTCTTAGTAGCGTCTTTAAGAGAAGTTTAAATCCTTAATCTCAGAATCCACCTCAAATTAGACTAGTCGCTAATCAGTGAACTGAACCGATCGATTAGAATATTAAAAAAAAAAAAAACAAGTAAAAACTGTAAGTTGTTCCTTCTAAAAGTAATGCCTACTCAATTAAAACGCCATAAACATAAGTACATAACCATTATGTACCAGCGAATTCCAAGATGACCAATTTTTGTTGGCATATGGTTAGAATTCATCACTGGATATTCAGGTCAAAATAGTTTCTTCATCCCCGCAACTTAACCAGATAATATAGCTCGGACTGAAAATTAGGATCACTGTTTGGATGGATTTTTTCTCTTTAAAAGCTGATTTTTTTAAGAAAAAAAAGTACTTCTCGAAAAAAGTTAGTTTGGATGTCTGCTTTTTTTAAAAGCAGAAATCATAAAAAAAAAAAAGCAAAAATTTACTTTTTACGAAAGTTAAAAATTTTAACTTTTAAAAAAAGCAGAAGTCAGAAGTTAATTTTTTTAAAAAATTAAATATTTTTTTAAAAATTTAAATAATTTTGACTTTTGTAAAAAATACTTTTAAAATATGCCACACATAAAAAGAATTTTTTTTAAAATTCAATACAAACGACCTAATCTCTTTCCTCAAGCATTATTTCATCTCAACTCCTTAACACATAGAGGTGTTCGCGGTCTGGATTGGATCGGTTTTGGAAGCAAAACTCATCCGATCCAATCCCTTCGGTTTGATTATGTAATCATCCATTCGGTTTAGATTTTTTTTCAAATCCGATCCAATCCAATCCAATTTTTTTCGGTTTGGATTGGATCGGTTTTCGGTTTTTTGAATATCTCTAAAATTAGTTTCATGATTATTGTACAAATAACATCTTTTGTATAGATTGGCTTTGTAAAAAAAAAAATTTGAAATATAAAAATATCAGTAAACAATACTATAGTTGATGATACGTGACTAAGTTTTTTCTTGGGTTTAGTTGATGTGTTAATGAGTATTGAGTTTAGAAATTTTTGGACTATGACTGGAGAAAGGACAAATAGGTTGAGGATAATTAATATATTGGATCGGTTTGGATTGGATCAGTTTTTATCAACCCATCCGAAAACCGATCCAATCCAATTAAAATTTGCATTTTTTTTTCGGTTTTCGGTTTATTCGGTTATCGGTTTTTCGGTTCGGTTTTCGCGGTTTGAATCGATTTGGATCGGTTGATGAACATCCCTATTAACACATAACATACAACTAAATTAATAAAATCTCCGAATTCAATGCCAAATAGCGATTACCCTTTGTCGTATCTTGATAATCTACTGCCATTAAAAATGTTAGTACAAAAGCGCATAAAATAGAAATGAGGGGGAATTTTGATTCAAAAGTTGATGAAACAAAGCAATTAATATTAAAACTAATGAATAGAAAATGATGCAAAATTAATTATAAATAAAAAAATAAAATTCGAGCCCAGTATTACACAAAAATAAAATAGAAATGACACATTTGTGTAGATCTCAAAAAGTTATATGAAATAAAAAAAAAATTCGGACAACCGAGTCAAAAGTTGTGGTCTTCCAAAATTTTACGGTAAAACTATTTAAAATTTTTTCCGTGTAAGTCACGCCCAAAATACACCCTAACACACCTATTTTGAGCGCGATGGGTAGGGGTGAAACTGGGCCGGGCCGGGCCGGCCTACAGGGTCCTACAGCTCGGCCTACATCAGGTCAGATCTAACCTAGTATATTTTGTATAATAGGCCGGGTGTAAGAACCCGCACCGTTAATTAAGGTATTTAATTAATTAATTATGAAAAATTAGGAAATGATTTCATAATTGACCCTAATAATTATTTATGAGGCTTAATAATTATAGTAAGTGGGTTAGAATGTTGAAAGTCATTTTTCGGAAGAAAAGTGCAGATACCGGTTCTGCTAGTCGGTATAAATGCGTACCGAAAAAGTATCCCGGAAAATTAAAGTAAGTGCATGATAATTACTAGAATAATATGTAGGACTTGTAAAACGAGTTTCAAGTCCAAATAATGAGAACTGGTGCTAGAAACCGGTACTGGCTCTGAAAAGCGTGTACCGAAAAGGTACTCAGAAAAATATAATAAAAATATGATAAATCTTAGAAAATTGTGTAGTTTCAGAATCCAAAGTTTGGGATTAAAATGCTAAGCGTAGCAATTAAAGTTAATATTGTGCGTTTTAATGAGTTTTGGCTATATATTATGGGCACAAAACCCTAGGTGCCACTCTTTCTACGTGAGTTTCTGGTGTGGTCAGC